TAAATGCGAACAAAATACGGACGTTTGTAGCTCGGGCGCTATTATTTCGCGCGCGATTAATATTGTTCTATTAATTGCGATCACGTGTGAATACGAGGAAGAGATGCATTCAGGACGACAGTCGTCGTATTGCTTTGTTCGCCCGGGAACTTTTTTTTGCAGAAAGAACATCCAAAGATTATTTATGTACGAGAGATATCAAAGAAAGAGAGAGAAAGAGAGGAGAACGCGTTCGTCTTTTATTTTGAGACGCGCGCCATCCTCGCTTTTGTCTTCCAAAGTATTTGTTTGGCTATGACCCGTATGACCCATTATATCCCTTCACTCTGAATTGACACCCACTTCGTGTACGCGGTCGCCGGAAACTCAAGTCCGCCGTCAGACCTGCCGGCGGACATTCGGCAGCCGGAAAGTCCGGCGCGGCGTACATCGCAGTTTGTCCCGTCGCGTCGCTCGGTTCGTTTCTCGTGATCAGCGTGGACACACGCGGGCTCTGCAGCACGTAGTTCTCTTATTTTCCGAGTGTCCCGCGGTAACCGGCAGCAACATTGTTTTTCTCTTGCTCTGTCCTTCCCGTCTTCCCTCCCTACCATCTTCTCTCCCTTGCCCCTCCCTCCCTCCCTTTCGCCATCTATCTGACGACTGGCTTTTGGGATTCCTTTTTCAATACCCGGACACACCGAGGACCTTTTACCACGGACACGTAGGGGCCCCTCTTGTAATGACCGCAACGCTCCAATGCACTCGGCGTCCGTCCGTTCGGAGCTGCATAACCGGTGCAGCGGACGCGTAGGATGCATCTTGTCCGTCTCTCGTCGTGTCCCGCTAACGCTTCGTTCTCGCTGTTGCAGTTAAATGGACTCTGAGTATTCCAATTATCTATGTAAATGGCGAGATCTTACATTGCATCCTCTGATGTATCGGCAGAGAATTAGGTAGTGGTAGATGTAGTTGAACAGGTATTAAATACAAGAAGAATATTAATGGCTCTGATGAGAGATAATTAAGAAAATAAGGGTCTTTAAGAGCCCGGTACGAGCATTATAGTGCTATAATAATAATGAAGTTGATTTTATTATAGCACTGTAATACCTATGCCTGCCTCTTAAAGACTCTTATTTTCCTAATGAAGTTTCACGTAGTTTGGAGGACTGGGAAATTCATTGATCGTGCTTTAATTAATTGTAACTAACGTAACAATTAGTCCTTCAGCTCTGATTATCTTCCTGCATAATAATTTCGCCATCTTCAGCGTGTATTGTATCGAGTATACATGATGATTTTGCGTTGATTAGTTTGAGCGGAAATTCGTAAGCATTTGTTTCGAGCCATTAGGCCGGCTTTCAATCGTTGTCTCTCCCGCACGCGACCAATAATTCGTTGACAAGAGCGGTAATCTCTCAGGAGATCGAGAATCATCTAGTCAAATACCGGCGGGTGGAGCGCTAAATCAGGGAAAACCTAGGGACACTCGTGTCGTCGGGTCTCGGGGTTGCCGGAAGACAAATGTCAGCGGAACATGCGGGGAGCTCTCTCTCTCTCTCGGCCTCTCTTACGCGTAGATGCACGGTCTGCGGCGGTAAATCAAGGGTGGTGATATTAAAAGGCCGCTTATACGCGAAAACATAAGATTTATTTCTGCTGAAGAGGAATGCGCACGCGAGAGAAGGAGCGGATAAAGGCGGCTCCTTCATCGAACATGAACGACCGTCGGATGAGGAGCGAAACGGAGAGAAGAAAGAGAGAGAAAGAGAGGGAGAGAGACGGAGACGAATTATCCAAACGAATTTTTCTCATACAAACACGAGCGAGCGGAGATACGGAAGTTATATCGAGGCAAAGTATGAGTACATTCGCATCTATGAAGGAACGCATTTCTCCTTGAGAACGCTTCGTTCGGGCCAATATCGTAATTTCGTGAATAACGAAGCGAAAATGGTTAGAAGCAACGATTTAGTTGTATCGCATAATACCTCATATCGTACGAATAAGAACCTGCAATATCTGTTATGATATAAAGTGCACTGCAAAATGCACTTTGTAAAATGCATTATTGGTAGTGCATAGTGGCTCGCAAAATAATTTAGACACAATGAAATTGGGATCTCAATTGGTCAACATTGAAGTTATTTCCAACAGACTCACCACAATAATATTATAATTAGTATTATTAATTATTAGAAATAACACTTAATAATAAATAACAGTAATAATAATTAATAAGAATTATTATTAATAATATAATATCTAGCAAGCCCATCAATAATGAGGTCCCTTTATTTACTTTATCATGTCTAAACCCACACTGTAACACTTAGTTTCAATACGGTTTGAACATCTCTTTCCGATGCACTTCAGAATGGTAACCGATGAGAGAACTTAATTTCTGGAAATTAATAAAAAACAGGTTTTCTCATCGGACCATTGATTACATTCTGAAGTGCGTCGAAAAAGAAATTCAAACCGTATTGAAACGAGTTATACGTACATTACATATATCATTACATATTAAAGAGACGAAGGAACGTCGTTCTCACAATGTTCCATTATATTAACGAATAGAAAATCGATCGGTTTTATCTGTCGTATCATTTCCTCGGACACATTTGCTCTTTTTGCAGCTATATTATTATTACCTGACACTATCGGATTGTATCCGTGTAATGCTTCATTTTCTTCACAAAGACTGGCCCACTATCGTGCGACGCGCGGCCGTCTTGGTTGATTAAGGCCATCCACAATGATGCTGTCACTAGGTTCGTTCGTGCATAGAACAGGATATTATGCACCGGTATATCGAACAATAAGTCGCCGACCACAATGACTCGGCTCGATCGTTTTTCTTCACCGTACGATCCGTACGGACCTTGCCGGGCGCTCTGTACCAACGCCTTCGTTAATTCTTTCGCTACCGAAGCCAAGTATAATTCACCATGACTGTCCTCTGTATGTTACGAGTAACTGTAGTTGCTCGAGTATAACCGACATTCCTGAGCTCGCCGAATTCGCACGTTCTTGTTTCTAGATTTCTTCTTATTTCGCCGTGAACAAGAATATAACGCGCTATCGCTTCATGAGTATCTCCGCCCGCTTGTAGAAGCATAGATCTATTTTATATCCAGCCAATTCTCGATTTCGGAATTTTAGGATTGATCATCAATTGCATTTCTATTCATTAGTTTTTACTTAAAGAAAAGATACTTTCCAATCTACACGGAGAAAATATTGCAACAAAAATTACGTTAAAATTATATCTTTTTTTTACAATTTTTTGTAAAACTGAACTGTGTACTGAAATTGTAGTACAAATTACTATAGAAATAGTAAAATTGACGATCAATCTAGCACACAATATAAATCAAGTAATAATTGCAATAATTTAGTAGTAAAAAACGTCAAACGCGCATAACATTTTTTAACAAACGTATAGCGATTTTAGTCATAATTCTGTATGGCCCGAAACCACGAAAATTTTGTTGCGATTTTTGTTATAATATTTTCCCCGTGTTTTTGGGATGAGACAATAAAATAAAAAATACGGGTCGGAAAATACTTGCGAGCGATAGCGCATATCAGCAGAAAGCTGAAGAACTGTCGTTTAATTTCCCGTCGAAGATGTACACGGCTTTTCCCGTCTGACGCTTTCATGTCTGTCCACGTGTTGGTGCTCTGCATCCCTACGTGTGTCGTCCGAAGGCAGGAAAGCTGCGCGCAAACCGAATCCTGTTTTCCTCCTCCATCTCCGCGATCTCCGGGGAGCAATAATCGTTGCGGGGCGGAAAAATTTCGCGACAGAAGTTAAACAAAGCCTCGAACCAGAAATAAAAAAGGAGGGGCCGGGGCGAGGCGCGGGAAAAGAGAGAAACGGAGGGACATAGAGACCGGGGTTGTCCCGGCTTCGACCGTAATAAGGGTGACCACCTTCCCCTCCGCGACTCCGTTCGCTCCTGCGGCGCGGCGTTTCTCTGTTCTCCTGTTTGAACAAGGCTCATAATTAATACGCGCATTCGCTTCTGGAAAACGCGTCTGGGATGGGTTGGGGTGGAGGGACATTTTTAAACTACGGCATCGGATAGTCGCCTTTCCGCGTCAAAGCTCGCGGGAGAACTCGCGATGTATCTCCGATATCCTTCGTATTCGGTATTGCGTTTTGAGGAGCGTATCCTGTTCCCGGATTGTCGGAAATCGTTTTCCCGTTTTTGTTGAGAATACTCCCGCTTTTCGGGAAATTTTAATCAACTCTGAAATGAATTTTAAATTCAGGAATTAATTTTCTTTTGCGCGATATTCTGATTCACGTCTCTTGGTCGTTTTACAATTAATTTCGTTTTACTAAGACTTTTAGTTATGAGGGTGCAGCAAAGGATTGAAAGAATTGGCTAATGTGAATTTTTAATTCCAAATATATATAGATTTCTAAATTTTTCGGGCTTACATACCGTAGCGTGTAAATTCGAAGAGATTTCCGTCTATTCCCGTGGTACAATCGCATGACAGCGTACCTGGCTCGTTTCGCGAGAGATATCTGTCTTTAAGAGCATTATCTGGATGGTCGTCGGCTAGGGGAATGGCAAAAACCATCCGCCCCCTCGTGGTATGTGAAAAATGATGCACAACCCCGTCCCCTAAACATCACCTCCGGAAAGTCCCGAAGGAAACGTTCACCGTCGTCGTCGTCGTCGTCGTCGTCGTCGTCGTCGTCGTTGTCGTCGTCGTTCTCGTTGCCGTCTTTCTGGTTCGTGATCCATAAGATCGTGTCACGGGCGAGCTCACATTATCGAGAACACTCAACTCGCTTACAGGTTACCGAGCTGTTGAATCTTCTTTCTCTTTTCAAACGGAGCTAATTCGAAAAAAAGACTTGTACATTCACGTATTATTTATCGCGGTGTGATATAAGCGTTAATTGTTAATTTCTCGTGATACTTAAGCACACACATTATTATTATTACTGCTACTTTCAGGTGTTTAACACACATACGTACATCTCAATGTTTCAGATACGCGGAGACATATTCGAGAGCACCGCCGCCAGGCATCCAGAACGCGTCGCTCCTGTGCGAGCACAAAGGATTTCTGTACGCGCCCAGGATCAACAACGAATTGTAAGTACACATCGTGTACTTTGCTGAAAAGTATTCTAAGAAGGAGGAACAAAGACGGAAATATACACGCGCGTCCTAATGTAGCTGCTGCACGAGTCTTGCGGGCGAGAGAAAGTCGTATTTCTGCGAAAATAAAGTTAATCGCTCGGGGGATACACACAAGGAGGTAGCTTCACGTGCTTTCGGGAGGGGATTTTTCCTTGGCAGGAATTTCTCGAAGGACACTATATTATAAAGCGAAAGTGCGTGACCTCCTGGCACGCCTTTCCCTTCCTCGCCTTGCCCCTGCTCTCGTTCCTCGGCTCCCGTGACGTGATGGATACGCGAAAATGTCACTCGCACGCCCCCGGGGCTAACGCGCCATCCAACATCCCCCGACCATTATGCTAAAGCATTGTCCACTATCTGCCTAAGATAGCCGGCGGCTTAAGTCGTCCGCTTTTACTCCGCGCCTCGGCGAGACCGTTAAAAAATCATTTTTGCCATCTTCGCCCCACGTACGATGGCGATTCTCGTGTCTATCGGGGATGCCGACGGACACTCGCCGTCCTCGTAGCTTCCCTTCCCGCGGCTTATCGCTCCTCACGTGTGTCTAAAAGTATGATAATTAAGAGGCGTTGGTATAATCAAAATATCCATTTTATTCGTTCAATAATCTTCGTGGTATTGAACGGCACTCGACGATATTCTCGAAATATTATTCCTTTGTGTGAAAAATATAAGATTGCATTGTTTCATTATTTAGATTGAAGATGCTGAAGCGAAAATATAGCAAAAGGCGAGAGAGAGAGAGAGAGAGTGAGAGAGAAAGAGAGAGAGAGACACCCGTCGAATATCGCGTATAGCCTGGCTAGCATATATTTTTTCTGCGCGCCGATCTCACCCCTCCGCTTCCTTTCATCGTCTCTCCTCGATGCACCCACCATTATTCGGGCGTTAGGCAAATACACAGGAGAGACGACAAGCTCGTCCGCGCGTTTTTGCCCCGTGAAAATTCAAATGAGACCGCGCGGCATATTGCGCTGAATCGAAATTAATGTCGCGCAACTAATTATCGGTCGAGTCATCATCGTTTCGTACCGCTGGGTCTCTGTCTCCCTCTCTTCTCTCTCTCTCTCTCTCTCTCTCTCTCTCTTCCTTGCTCCCTTTCTCCCTCTTTTGTTTTCGTATCGCCAATCGGTCGTTGTATAACCGTCTGTCGTTCTATGGAGGGATAAATGATCGAGCCAATTATCGTCGATCGCGCTACCGTCTTAATCGAGCTTGATTGATCGATTATTGCGATATTGCGCTGTTTATTATTTTTTTTTAGAAATATGACTTCCATGAGTCGCACGTCCACTGTGAGAACTAAATTTATGCTGAGAGCGAACAAGTCTGGCTTCTTGGAAGTTTCGCTTGTTTACACACTGTAGTTTATATTCGATCGATGCGCTTTTATCCTTCCGGTTAGTAGTAATTGGCTACACGTGTGATACTCTGAAGTAATTATTCGCGGTCAATGTAAAATCGATATTGTCGCGATGATAGATTGATTCGAAATTACGTACATTAATAGCGCAATAGTTGGCGAAATATTATTGATTACACACTGAGGCGAGATTTCCTCGCGATACGCGACTCAGGAACCACGCCAGGATCGAGCGAACAATTGCAAAGGCAAAAAGCTGGAGCCGTGGCACAGCAAGAAATTTCTAATTTGCGGTATAATTAAGGGAGGTGATGCAAAAAGCATTACGGATTCTACACCGTTGTCGGAAAATCGCAAATTCCATCTTGCAAATACGTCTCTCGTCCAATCGCGTTCACAGAAGAGCGAGGAAGAAGGAGAAAGAGAAAGAGAGAAAGAGAGAGAGAGAGAGAGAGAGAGAGAGAGAGAGAGAGAACGCGAAGGAGAACGCATCGTTTTTTTGTGAATATTTCATAAATATCAACAGGAGAAACTGTGAGTTTGTCTCTTTGCCAGAGAATCGTACTAAGAGATATTATTTAATTGTTACAGATACAGTATAGTAACCGCGGAGGAATGGTCGAAGCTCGCGCAATTCTACGAAGTCGACTATCCCATTACCATAAAGAAGACTGATGATGACTATCAAACGACTCCTGGTGAGTGCAAATACACACAAAATCCAAACTTACGACGCAAAATCCAAACGATTTTCTGAATAATTCCAGTCGTTTACGACGTTACGCGCTATTACACAAATTTTGTCCGCGTCACGTTTGTTTTTCATTCATTGTTTGTTAGTAATTTCAATTCATATTGAGATGTACGAAGTCCTCAATGCGGGGGCGTAAAAATCTCGTTTCAATAGAAATTTTAATTCATACACATTTTTTTTAGTTGATATTTTACATGATGTAAATTATTAATAGTTCTTTGCGTATAGCACTTGCGACAACGCAACTACAATCGAACACGTTCTGCGCGTTTTTTTCCTCGAAATTTATTCCGATTAAAGACACGTATATGGAAACGTGACGTTGGTACTTAGAGAACACGCGTATTATGATTATATACAGGATATCTTGTCGATAATGACCGTGATACAGAAGTTACGCTCGGCGATCCCGTTCGGCGATATATTTCAAACAAATAGAAAGGAACGTAACGCGTGTGTCGCTCCCGTCCCGCCGCCGCGGGCTTTCTACTCCACCTCTCTCCCAACCTAACCCAAGGAATAATGCCAGAAGACATTAGCCGCCGATTTACATAAATCCACCTCCTGTCCCCGTTCTATCTTCTCAGTTGGCTTCTCCTCCAGGCCCCAAAGTGTCTCATTATAATTAAGAAGTATCCTGAAAATTAACTGGCAGAAAAAGCACCGCCACGTCGGGGATGTGACGGGGAGTAGGATGAGACGAGCGCAAATGGCCTTCTCAAAAGTTTCTCGCCCCTGTTTCGCAGCCGTCTTCGGGCTGCTTACTCCTTCGACATTTCCGTTGTTTCGTCGATTTCGTCCTATGAATAATTCCCTTCCGCGCTCGCGGTCGCAAAATCGAGTGTACTCGGATAATACTCCAGTGTGTCCCAGTAAATTTCCTCAATATAATTTCGCGTCCCGTCGCTCACTGCGCAGATAATAGTAGATCGATCGATGGATTAAATGAATTCCTAGGGAGAGCGCGCAACTCCGAAGCGAGATTAAGATTCACCCGAGCCCCGGCACGTGTCGCGGCGCTTCCTCGGGACGAGCGATCCTTGTCGGCCGTCCGGCAGGCAAATTGGGTCTTGACGGTAGCATCGGGGACCGCTGACGCGAGAACTGGTACGATGTTTAACGTCCTGCCTCGTGCTGGCCGCCGTCTCGAGCCGGCGTTTATCGTGAGCGTGAGCATCCGGACCTCTAAACATCCCATTGTCTTGTCCGTCTCTCGATCGCGAGTGCACCACCTCTTTTTTTACGGGGGCATTTGTCAAGCCGCTTCTCCGGTTCTCAGGAACGACGACGACGACGAGGAGCTACGACGAGGCCGCCCGGGGCGGCCGACGACAACATCTGAATTGCAAAAATCTCGTCTCTCGTTGGCGGCGGCGAATCGGATAGCCGGTATCGCTGCGCGAAACACCGTCACGACACTGTTGCAGATAGAGATGTTTAAAGTTCAATCGATGGTCTTTACCGCGGATATGCAAATCTCGTGTCAACGTAGCATTAAATGCGAACGCTTAGTACAAACAAGAGCCTGACTAGAAGCTTATCCCATGGTCCTGATTATGTTGGTACTAATTAGTTATTTCGTTCGTGATAATTGGAACCTTATTAATGATAAGAACTAATTAATAATTAGGATCACGAACAAAATAAAAAAATGTGAGCCTGAACGCAGGAGTTAGTATTTAAATTAAAATCAATTGTGTGTGTGAGGTTTGAGCACTAACTCTTGCGCTCACATTAGCCATATTTTTTTATTTTGTTTTTGACTGAAAATCATTGAGCCTTATTCCAGTGCTTTATTGGAATAATTAGGACATTATTAATAATGCCTAGATATTATATAATTTCATATTTATTGATAAAATTGATTTATTTTTTAACAGCACTGTGCTTGGCTCTAAAAGGCCCTATTAATTTAATTATTGATTAATAATTAATTTTCGTTAATATCGCCTTATGCAAACCAGATAACTGATTGGAATTCCAATCAGCACCAATAAGGACCATAGGATAAATTTGTAGTAGAAAATTGAACGTGCAAAGTTTCATCGAGAACCATGGCGACGATTTTCTTATTTAATATGTTCAGAATGAAATCCACGGTCACAGTATTATCGCGAAAGTGTCGCGACCGCTTATTTCCCAAAACACGGCCAATATCTCGAAGAAGAGCAAAGAGAAGAGACGGACTGAACTCACCGGGCAAACAAACGGGCGATTTAGCTTATTTCGGGGGCGCGCTTTGCGGGTACAACGGACGGGCGCGAAAGGGAGAAGAACGGATTGCTAGACGCAAAAAATAGAGGGTTGCTTTCGGTGACTGATACGGCCCTGACTAACGAGTCCTAGCTGGACGATCGTGCTACTCTTAAAGCCTCCAAGGATCCCCTTTTCTCGCTTCTCTGTCTCTCCCTGCTTCCCTCCGTCTCCCTCGATCGTGAAGGCACATTAGGCACCGTCCAACCTCGTATCAATCACCCGGCTACTCCCGATACTCCCGTCTCGTTGGAGGCTGGATCCTCGCTAGCTCGCCGGTTGACAGAACCGGAGGTGACGCGATTGAATACCACCCTCTGCGCCTCGTTTGCTCCGGGGCGCGGCTCGATGACGGCTCGCGCGGGAAAAGCCAAGCGGAGGGAAAGAAGAAGCGCGGCTGACTCGCGTTACACATCGGAGGCCGATCGGTACTTAACACGAGACGTCTTACTCGGCAATTACGGGGCCTGAGCGTCCTGATGAGAGAGAGAGAGAGAGAGAGAGAGAGAGAGAGAGAGAGAGAGAGAGAGAGAGAGAGCTGACGGTCTGCGTGTAAGCTCTTAGTCGGAAGGAGAAAACAAGCGGTCTCAGGTGTTACGTGCTAATTAACGTGATACGGAGGGCGCGATACACGATTCGATGAGATGATCTCAAACGCGAAATCGTATACGAGGTTGGATCCTTTGAACGCTCGACTTGCTTTGCTCTCGCGCTGCCCCGGCGGCTGTTTTCCTCCATCGAAGATTGAAAGAACGACGTCGTGTATCGGCTCTACTAATCCGATCAGCGAAATAGACTTCCGTGTTGCTCGAAAGAAGCTATTACCGCGCACCTTTCGCAGCAACGCGCTCGATTAATAGCATACAGCCTCGTCGGGGACGAGATTCAGACGCGGGTCTTCGGATCGGAATCAATCAGGGGACGGGATTTCTCCTGCGGTCGTGCGCGCATCGACAATTAAATCGTGTTGCGCGCGCTATTATCTGCCGGCAGACGAGCTTATACGCTAGATCGAAGCCTGATTCAAGAAATGTTGCCGCGCGGAGAGCGAGTTAGCCGCTCGCTGTTTCGTTTCTCCGAACGTCGCTCGTAAATATCGCTTAGGCGCCAGGCGGTGCCACAAATCAGACGTGTCGGTGGTGTAGGTACGGCACTGGCTGTGTATCGCAAAACCGATGAGGAACGAGTGAGCGGGACCAAGAAAACCGTGTGCGCGGGACAGATAGACGGACGAATGGACGGGCGAGCGGGGCCGGGAGCCGGCGGAGGTGGGTAGGGGAGACCTCGGCCTCGAATTAATATTCGGACGGCGATTTAGATTTAGAACACGAATTTGCTGATTAGTTCCCTCCCTGAGAATGCGGTCGCCTACGTTGCAGCGACCGCGTCCTTCCATAAACGTGCGGCCAAAACGTACAAGGGCCGCGACGGGGACGGCGGGGGTGGACCTGGAGAGATTCGAGATTTAGTTGCCTGAGGGGGTTGAACTTACCAGGGGTCAAACGATTCAGGAGAGACATTTGTTAGCCCTCTGTCCCCACCCTGCGACAAGTGCGCCGGACACGTCTTAATATATACATCCGTTGACCAATGAACATGCCCTTATGAGTGTTCACATTGTGCCGGCGCGCTGCGGCCAAAGTCGTTGCACCGAAACCTCTATGGATACACACCATTGACTTGCGCCTGGAACTTTTTCGCTTAAAAACCAAGAGCTCCTGAAACGTGCCGTCGGAGGACAGCGAACGTTGCTGTCTGGTTGAGAGTTTGTTTCATTTAATAATCAGTTTGATTCACACAAGCTCTTCATTTCAATGATAAGAAGAGAAGAATAATTCTACACTCAGATACGAGTGCTGACAATCTGTGTTACTCAAGTGACTATTCGCCTTCTTGAAGAGATCTTCTTTCGCACATCAGGCTAATCGATCACTCAGCTCTCGCTCAAATTACGCGGGTAATTGCTTCGGAGGAAGATCGAAAATTCGTTTACGGTCAACGCGACGATTGCGTGCGTTTCTTACTTTCGTGTTACGACCGATATATGGATATGGGGGAGGCTCAGTGAAAACATTAACGTGCGGAAAACGAAAAAAAACAGCATTTTCGCGTAATCGCGCAGGAAACGAGCATAGTTGGGGCAGGACAAATTTCAGCAGGGACGAATTAGCGCATCCTGCCAGGTCCGGGCGCTCGCGTTCTCTCCCTCGCCGCTTCTGTTATCCCGAAGGAGATCCCCACTTGTCCGTGGACTACGGGGGGTCCTTTTCCTCCAGGATTAAATGGAGCGCCTAGATGACCGATGCTCGTCCTCCGGTAGTGGAGTGTGCGAGGCGTGGCGGGAGGTGGAGGACGGAGGGGACGTAGGTTTGGGTGAAAACAAGATAAAACAAGGATAAAGCTCGCTCTCTCGGATCCCCTCTTGCAACGATGCCGGGACGCGTCTTCCGATCCTGTCAGAAGGAGACCCTCGATAATCTAGAGGTGTCTAATCGTCTACATCGTTTGATTTAAACCATCAAGCTCCAGCTTGACCTCGTCCTCTCTCAGCCAACTGAAGTTGAGGTAAAAATACCAATGCTTGGACACTAATGCTTAATTTTGGACATTGTTATGTATTGTTTTAAATATGATTATTTAAACACACACACTTTTAATGTGTAATTAATGTATATGTTCAACATATTTACACGGAGAGAGAATATTACAGTTCTTTTTTTTCCATATAAATTCTTTTCAATTTTATAGTTTTTAGTCCAGAAATAGGTTGTCAGTAAGGGCTTGCTAAAGAACATAGTAAATTTCGTTACAAACATAGCGAATGTTTTAATAACATTTCAGTTCCTAAAGTATAAGTAGCACATATGAAAGAATAGTGAATTACTGTAGAATATTTATTTATTCTTCAGCTACAAAATCCTATAGTAATTTTTACTATCAAATTCTCTTGTATACGTATATTCTATATTGAAATATTCATATTCAAAGACTAAACAATAACAAAATGTCCAAAGTTAGATATCTGTTTAGACACAAAATGTCCAGATACTTTTACCTTACATCGCGGAGGATATTCGTATTTATACTCGTAAATGTATATTTTAATTATTATTCATTATCGTTCTGTTGCACGTAGACGTGGAAAGCTCGACGAGTATGATTGATATTTTGTACCGTTGTCGTTCCGAATCGAAATGCGATTGCAAAGAAGGAGTGAAACGTCTTATGTCGTTTAATTAACGAATTCGCGATTACTCATTTGCGACAGTCGCGTTGTGAAAGGTACGGCGTAGCTCTTCCTCTCTCTCTCTCTCTCTCTCTCTCTCTCTCTCTCTCTCTCTCTCGATCTTGATTTCCACGAGTCGCAGAGTGACAATCGTATTTTGCGGATTCCGCAGGAGACGCGCGTAATGCCGTCGAGTACCCGATTACACGAGTGCCGCCCTCGTTGCCGCTACCGACTCGGTGTCATCCTGTTGTAAGAGGATTAGATTTCGACTTTGTTGTGGCTCTCGAAGACGTTCGTTAGCGAAATCATTATTGCGACGGCGATCTTCCTCGGCTACCGCGACGGCGATAACGCTGCGCGTCTACGTCGAGACGTGTTCAGAAGATTTGTTAATTCTAGCTGCCAATTATTTGCTAGCAGTGATCGTTGATGAACAAATTTGTCTGGAAAATCAGGAAATTGATTAATTTAGAGAAATAAATTTATATGAGACGATCGTGCAGCACGTTATTATTTAACCGCGTCGTTAGCCGCAAGGATTTAATTCGGTGATGCAGTTGACAAAATAAGAAGTCATTATTTACTTTCTGAGGGGTGCACAGTCTTCTCCCCTCTCTCGGAAACTCCAAAGGATTCAAAACATATTTGAGTAAGGGTCGACGGCTCTCGCCGTCGAGTCACGACGGTTGGGGGAACATCAATCTTTCATTCACGGGGTGACTTGGGAGTTATGAATGAAAGTCGCTCAGCTCTTTTAATATAATAGCGAAACTGCTGTCTTTCCGCTTAACGTGCTTTCGATTTTGATCGAGGAGCTTTCTCTGACAATCCGTACCTTCTTCCGTCTTGACTCGAGATGATCGCGCTACTAATTCATTTGCATTCAGTGCGAGGAAAGCGTCTCTTGATCTTTTTGACTTAGTTTCAGCGTTCGGTTGCTTAAGCCAACAGATAAATTACTTAATTTAGTCGCAGCAAAATCTCGAAGGGATTCGTATCAATATCTCGCTTCGAATTAAGTTGTCGCTCCACCTTCAGGCGCATTCACGACTTCTTTCTATCTATCTTCCAATCATTCGCTCAAAAGAACGTTACCCTGTCTCTATGCCAGACTCATTTCGACATGCCTGTAATCACCGGATAATTGCTTTTCTTGATCGATGATCATCGATCAGGCAAAGCGTGATTAGAGCGATGATTAGTAGGTGGGACATCTCGTTCGACTCGTCAATGTCGAAGAAAAATGTGTCTATGTGTGTGTCACAATATAATAATGTGTCGTGCTGCTTATTATCGATGGTAATTACAGTCTCTCTCTTCTGGACGAGGTTGACATTTTTAGATTATCACAGGGTTATAATTTGTTACATTGGACGAAAATAGACTGATCTCAAATTCAAGGGAAATAATAATTACATTATATATTTGCATATCAAGGATGAGATATGCAAATAACCGTGCAATTTGCAGGTCAAACTTATTAAAACTTTTACCTTACAGAATCCCAAGCGACTTTGGTACATGTCGTAAGCCGTTTAAGCGGCCAAATAAAATCCGCGGGAATCTGACTCTTCGCAACCCGAAACTTCTCCTCGTGTCGACAACGCGCAAGTTTCTACTTTGTCTCGACGCTCGTTTATGGTTTGATTGCCCTTCGATGGCACTTTAGGGAAATACGTTAGAGCTCCTGTGTTGTCCTTTAGTCTCATCTACACGCTAACCGTTAGAACCTATTGTGTATTATTTACCAATAAAATTGGTTCACACTGTTTCTTCTTCTGAACATTCGCGAAAGTTTTTTCATGCCTTTGCATGACCTTAAGTTTGCGTATCAATCTGAGGTTGTATCTTAATATGCGAGCAGTAATCGGAACCTGCAGAAATCTGCCTCCTTGAAATATCAGAGTAATATTGTCATCAATATTTTTTCCATCACTGTTTCTTATCATAATTATTTTAATGAATCGAAAATAACGAACAATTTTTTTAATGTCACAAAAATTAAAGAAATATGTCAAGATTTGATGTCGCAGAAAACAGATAAAAGTAAATAAACGATTCTAAAATCAGTTACATTTGTCGCAAAACACACGCAACCGGTACTTGGCGAGTATCATGGAGAACTAAAGATCAGAGGAACAGAATCCTTCAGCTGGCGGAATCTTAGCCTATCGCTGTCGCCTTGAAAAGTGCGACTGGCATTCTCGCGATAGCGACATCGCTCTGTTTGTAGCACGCCGGAAGAGATTTGCATTCGCGACCCTACGAATCTCTCATTAGCTTAAGCTTCTCGTATTTCCGATTAAACTCGATAGCAAACGATCCTATCGCGCTGGATGTCCCCGCGGGTAATTAGGAATTCGAAGGGAGGACCTTCGAATTCATTTGGCGTGCGGGTCCTTCCGTCCTATCCTTCGTTACCGCTGCGGGGAATTAGCTCGCCGAACGGACGTCTGTCGCTCTCCCGATCCACCTTGCTCCATGTGATCTCTCTCGTCGCGCACGCGAGCGCGACGATCAACGTTTATTCTTCTAGTTCGCGAAAGCTTCGATCGCCGCGAGAAGGCGAACGGCGAATTACGCGCTAAATCTCTTCGACTCGTTAGCGGGCAAATAGCTTCTTACGCCGTTCTCTTATTGGCTCCTACAAGCCGGTAATTAGCGCTACGCGGGGCAGGACGAATTCGAATTCAGCCGGGGTCACGATCCCGTCTCCCCCGCGCGCTTCACCCCTCTTCGGTGGCTGGAAAACTCTCTGAACATGACGTAACGCTCGGAGAGTCGCTCGGATACGAGCTTTGGCTCCGGACCGACCGACCGGCCGGCCGAAGCGCTTTTTGTGCTGTCCGACCAGCAACAATGGCCGCTTCTTACACCACCCTGGTCACCGTATATTATTAATTACTGTATTAATCTCGCCGGCCGTAAGCAATCTATTATACATGGGATAAGAGCCACCACCCCGACATCGCCGCGCGCCACCCACTCACCCACGCACCCTCCAGCTCGACTTTCTAACTGCCCGTCGTCCCGGTCCTCTCGAGGGCTCGCCGGGGCCAACGAAATCTCTGACCCCCCGAGGGTGTTAATAGTGGCGCCCGACGTCCGACCGCGTCAACTTAAGTTTCCGCGTTGTTACGAAGATCACGATCACATCCTGCTTTCTTGTGCCGGCGGCGGAGTATGTCGTTGCAAAAATAATTCTTTGCCCGCGACAATTTTTCTCTCCGCAATTAACGTATGAGTTTCTGTATCACGGATACGGCGAAAGAAATAAGTATTTCTTATAAATAACACTACCAGCTTCAACTACATCAAGTGTCATGAAGGTGTCTTTTGTATTGCTTAAGGTCCATGTGCAGCTTGTATGTTGGCGAGGGTCGAACAGGAGCGATTGGAGAGCTTGAAATACGATCGAGCGACGATCTACATCAAGTGTATCGACGACAACGAGGAGTCGAAGTTAGAAAATAATTCCGAGGTATGGGAAAGAGACCACTTGTTCTATCATTAAATTTGTACTAACATTCTGTTATTAAATCTGTTCTGACACATTAATCTTGCGCAAACTAGTGTTGCTTAGACGTCGATTTCGTTGAATACATGAAGTTTAACGTGCGAGAGGATGAACGTCATGATCCGTTAGCGTGTCATTATCGTAGTGTGACGTTTACTTTATACGTTTACTTTATTTTACATTCAATATTCCGTGAAAATTAAAAGTCTTACGTTGGATATATGCGTACGTGAGTCGTATTGGTTCGTTCAGATGGACAAGGAAATTTTGTTAATGGGTTGACGTGCCGAGTCATCGAGTGTCTTGGAAGCGCGGTCGTCTTTTCAGATCGACGCTAACCGATAACGGGGAATTGAGATGCCATCTCATGCATTTCACAATATAATAAGTATTATTACGTCTGCTCGAAGTGACCTTAAGAGACGTGCCTACTTCCTTTTACGTGGCTCGCTTTCGATTCATGCTGAATTAGGAGTAATTTTGTACAACCGCGCAATTATGTCTTTCTTTTATTTAAGTTATCGAGCGTTTTAAGAATTTTATATCAAGAATATCCGACATGTAATAATGCAACCATTTTTATTAATGCATTATTCAAACACGCATCTTCATTTTGTATACACATCGTGTCTCTATTTGGATCCAATATTTTTTTGTATTTATTGAGAAAATATTCACACGAGAAATAAATACATATTATCAAACAATTTGCTTTATAAAAGAAGAATCTATTGTTACAAATACTTTATTACGAAGAATAATAATTGATCTATATGTTACACACATATCTATATGTCACGTGTCAAACAATTCGTGCGTTTGTTGCAGGTAGCGGCGAAGAGGCCAAAAATGGAGAACGTACGTCCCTCGCGAACCAGGAGAAAATTAAAAGGATCGCATGAGCTCAAAGTGTCGTCCGAGATCACCTTAAAAGAACTCAAAGTAATGGTAAGTGTTTTTGTCCACATAATTTTGTTCATCTTCATACTCGTAACGCTCACCTCATGACGACACCTCCACCGATGGCATTTCACCTTGTACAAAGAGATGCCCGATATATCGATAGATGTGTTCATTTTGATACGTTACTTTAAATCTCGGATAAGTTTAAGAACTTAATGGATCTGTGAAAGAAGAGAAAAAAAATCGGGTATTAATGAAGAGAGTTGCTAGGAAATGTGATATATATCGAGAGAAATCGACGGAGATGTCGATATCTTGATCTCTTACTTCGGCCACCTGCCGAAAGCGACCGGGATAATCAATCAATTTGCGGCGCAAGTATTTTACGGCGTGCTCTTATTGTCGGGGTCGAAAATGGGAAGAGCCCACGATCGCTACCCGGTGAGCTACCCTCTGCGCGCCGTACACGGTACGGCGTTCGGTTCGTTCCTCATTCTCCTCCGACTCTCGGGTGGACGAAAGTAGTAAAGGCGTAGTTATGGCTGGTTAGCATATGCTCGGACCCTGGCAGTGTGCTTAAACTATTAAGCGTATTTATATTGCGAGGCCGTAGCCATCTCCTCCTCCGCCTTCTCCTGCCCCCTTCTCTCTCCGGCGGGGCCACTGGCAAAAACCCGAAAGAGCATAAACCTCGCGCTAATAACAGGTCTCCAACTTCTCCACTCCACTTCACTCCACTTCGCTCCACTCAACCTTCCATTTGACTCTTTCTCCCTGCTCCGTCTCTCTTCGCGCCGCGTATTTTTCTCTCGCGCTCACCCTCCCACTATCTGCCTCTATCGTGGCTCTCCTTCGGGCTCGAATTTTTGTTCGTGCCTCCTTCACCCCGCGGAACACACGTCCCTTTTTAATGCCCGCCCGCGAGAGAGGCTGTCGGCGTCAATGGAAATACGAGACTCCGGGGTCTCTTCCTCTCATTCACTGTCCCCTCCTTTACTCTTTTTTTTTTTAATCTCTTATCTTCGATTTCGTTTCCCGTCCAGTTGTGAAAATCGGTGCGACGCGCTCAGATGGTTGGATTCGTGAAAATTAATTGAACTGTCCCGAGTCGAAATTTTGATCCTATTTTCAATCTCAATATCCCATTTAACGTCATTTTAGAACCTACGAATGGCATTTTGTGCATTTCCTGCTATATAGAGTTAAATAGGATTTCAATTTCCATATGAATTAAACATACACTGATCCTTCAGAATACACAGATGTTAGAAAGTGCGGATGGAAAGTAGGGCTAAAATTTTGATTCTGGATATCAGAGTTATCAGATTTCATTAATTTAAAAATGCAACGTCATACGATCGACACATGACACAGGCGTAAGGTACACGAGCGAAATACACTGAGGAAATCGGACGATAATTATTCGCAATAATGAAAAACGCGCAAAAGATATATTCTTTTTCTCTTTTTCTTTTCCATTGGAAAATCTCGCGACGCGAGCGCGGCGCGGTGCGTTGCGGCGTCACGATTTCAAGGGTGTCACTGTTCGCGGATTGGTTCGCGGATTGACAAAAATGCGAGCGAGTCATGCCGCGCGCGCTCGTTGCTTTTTGCTGGCGTGCAAAAAGGCCGCCGATAAAAATGTTTGAATTTCATGGTCGAATGCAGTTATGTCGCGAGCTAGCGGGCAAGCAAAATCGGGACAATAGCGCGCCGCGCTGATCTTCGTCGAGCGCGGCCAGCTTTACGTAATCGCGGTGTAACGCCTAGTGGCCGGCCGCCTGTAAATATTACTTTCTAGCACATTCCGTGTCACCAGTCCCATTTTTTCCCACGTCACGCCGTACCGCTCGATCGCCTTTCTTACTCTCATTGCGCGCGCGCGCGCTCGCGGCGTGGACGCAATGGCATCGGCGAAAAAACGCTCGTCCACGCCGGATAGCTCGCGTTCGCGGGGAAATTACGGCTGTAAAAACGCGGTCGTACGGCCGCGTCGGATTTTTCACGGATAAATTGGAAAGTAAATCGCGGCGCGCCCGTCGAAGAAGTCGTACTCGCTCGTCCCCGAGAAAACTCCGGTACCACACGCGACTACGCGGTCGAGATATATCTATGACTGGCTAAAATCATCCGGCGTTTTCCATGTCGTCACGAAATGTCAAGGGAATGGAATCGCGGGGAAGGAGTAGTTTCGTGGTAGTTTCATGGTAGCCTGTATTTTCCGCAGAGTTTTAGAGTGTAACTATGCAAAATTCGCTCCAGATCAAAGGATTTAGGAATGTATAGGGAACTTATGGATATAGACAGACGTTCTACTATTTTATATACATATATAAGTATTATGATAATATGTGTGTCGACGCGCACTCCCGCACACCTGTCTAACCTCCGATGAGCGATGTGGTGCGGTGGCTGCTGAGATTCGTAAGGATCAAAGGTTCCTCAACCTCTCGGGGCAATTTGGCCTCCCGCCGCTGCTTGGCAACCTTGTTAAACCCACCTCTATTTATCGCGCGCTCGTTGGGCGCCTTCCTTTAACGAGGAAGCCTCGAGGTTCTTTGACCCTGACCGTGCTTCTTCTTGTTCGCCGCGGCCACGTTTTCTTCCCCCTTGTATGAACTTCTGCAAACACTCGCCGTACACGCCGGCGCGGATTGTTTCGGCGTGACGCGAGCTGCCGGTGCCGCTCTGTAGCGAGATGAGGCGGTGCGAAATCGACCTGCGCCGTCTGTATCTATATCGTTTCCGTCGGTGAGTGCATAATTTAACATAAAAGGAAAAAATACATAGAGAAAAAAAAGAGAGAATGAGTGTTGCATGCCTAAGCGTTTCTTCATTCGCACATTTGAGCGAACGCAATCGCGCGTGTGCTCATAATCGTGTTCTTATACACGGTGTCCTCCGCCCCTTATTCGTTTTCTGGCGCCTTCTCGCAATCCCTTTCCTCCTTCCAGCCTTCGACTCTCCAGTTCTCGACTCGGCTCGCCTCGGCGATCGTAAAACCGAGCTACGCACGTTCTCGCCCGCTGAAGACGCGAGGAAGCTATCCCTTCCGCGCAACGGCGGGTACCACAAATTAAGCAATTACCGCGGCTCATGCCCGTCGCGCGCACATTCTACTTCTAGAATGTCAAACAGCGACCCTCTCACACCCTTTCGCGTTGGCCTCTGTTTTTCTACACGGCCGTAGACCTCACAGCCACGGAGGAGCTTTGCAACCACGTGCATTATAAGTCATCTTCATAAACATTACCGATCTTTGCAGTTTAGTAGGGTTTGGATTAATTTTTTGTTTCCTCTTAGGTCGTTTTCGTACACTAGATAGACCAATGTAGATATGTATCTGGACTTTTGTCCAGGTTGTTTCGATATTTTTCATGGATTATTACCGAAACTTGCTGTGTTTAAACAATGTTGGGCATTAATTGCTTCAGTGGTGACTTAAAATTATTGCACGATTCCCTCAGGATGGTTTTTTTCTAAACAAGCATACGTAGATTTCTTTTTTCTTTATTGTAATTTTCCTCGAAAAACAGAATGCAAAATATATCTAATTTGTATTTGCTATGAGTTAAAAAAATGCAATATAGTTTAATGAAATCAAGAGAGGAATTTTACGGTGAAAGTTTTATACCACTTTAGAGATATTTAAAGAAAATAAAGTTGACCTCCATAAAATAAGGTTGATCCTGGCAAATAACTGGAGTTAAAATTCAAGTCACCGTTTTTTTCTTACGATTGGAAGTATACAATTGGGAATTGAATTGAATATCTCGATCGAACGCAAAGCTTGATCGGAAGTGTCTGTTTGATTATTTTTTTATTTGATAATTTCCCTCAGTGTGGATTAAACGGGCGAATTGTGCTTTTTTACAGACGATGCAGATTTGCGGGGCCGGACCATATGACCAACATATAATGCTGGGAGAGCACGAGCTCACCGATCATAGTCAGAGCTTGGCCGCACTCGGAATATTTCCCGGAGCGCTTCTCACGTTAAAGGTAAGGCTCGATTCAAGTTTTATTTCATCGTGCTGCGTGCGTGATCATGCGAACATGAAGGAGATCCGAGACGTCCGCAGCGGCGATGTCTTAATCGTCGATTATAACGATACGTTTGTTCCGCCCGAGCAGCGGACAGAGACAAACAGACGCAATTTAGATTTAAGATCTGGCCACTGTATCTCCCTTAAGTTCGAGACAATGGATAAGTAACCGGGACCGGCAATGGCCCTAGATAACAGCCAAGACCGGCGTTTTCGCGGGATTAGTCGAAAATGCCTTATTTTAGATTAGAGATGTTAATTTGTGCCCCTTCCGAGTCACAAAGTACTGCCGTAGAAATTGCGGTTTCAGGCCGAGGAGAAGCTTATATTCTCGCGAATCGTCTAATGCTAATTCCTCCGAACAAATTCTTCTAATTTACGCTCGCAACAAACAACATGCGATTCAACATTATCCGCAACGGCAGCAACTGCTAGTTGTAAATCACGGACGAACGTTTATTTCTATAGTTTGCACAATTGATCGATTATCGTTGTCAATATGTTATTTGCGATTTTATCGCCAATCGATGACGCAAGCGCCCGAATGAATCCGGAAAACGGACGACGACGAGTCGTATTGTTTGCTTTCGCACTCTCGGCGCGGATCGTTGTCCAACCCTTCCGTGGCTTTTTGCCGAAAGCAGCCGTCTGCGAAACAGCGTCGGCGCGGGAGAAAGATTCCGTCCGCTACTCGGTATACTCTCCCGTTCGGCGGAATAATTTCAGAATTCCAACACATTCCTCGGTTCATAGTCCACTGATTTTATGAAAGCAGCCAGTGAGCTAAGTCAGCGAACGAGTCTCCGCACCAGAGGCAGTCTCAAAACCGTTACCGCGAGCTGGTCCGTGCTATCCTACTGCTCTCTGTTCGGGTAGAATAAAGGCTCGTCTACAATACGCGGAATAAGCTTGGCGTAAAAGTTGGAGTAAGAAATAAAAATAATTTATTTCGCTTACGCGCCCCCATACTCCCTAACACTGTATTTCTCTATTTTTCTTATTTACGAGAAATACTTCCGGTGTAAGGGAACTAGAATATGGGCGTGAGCGAAATAAATTATTTTTATTTGTTATTCTAACTTTTACGTCAAGCTTGTTCCGTGTATTGTAGACGAGCCTTAAAGAGTGAACGAGAGAGGAAGCAAGAGAGAGAGAAAGAGAATGAGAGAGGAAAGGAGGGAGGAAAAGAGAGGAGGAAGAGAGAGAGAGAGAGAGAGAGAGAGAGAGAGAGAGAGAGAGAGA